CCGGCTAATTTTTGATTTATTGTAGAGATGAGGTCTCGCCAGGTTGCCCAGGTGGGTCTCTAACCCATGGGCTCAGGCAATCCTCTCACCTCGCCCTCCCAAAGTGCTGGGATTATAGATGTGAGCCACTGTGCCCGGTCAGTTTTTTTTGAGTTGAGGTCTCACCGTCACCCAGGCTGGAGTGCAGTGACATGATCATGGCTCACTACAACCTCGACCTGCTCAGCTCAGGAAATGCTTCTGCCTCAGCCTCCCAAGAAGCTTGGATTATACCACCACACCTGCTAATTTCTTTTTTTTTTGAGTCAGTCTCACTCTGTCGCCCAGGCTGGAGTGCAGTGGCACACTCATGGCCACCGCATCCTTGATTTGCTGGGCTCAGGCAATCCTTCCACCTCAACCTTCCAAGTAGCTGGAACTACAGACGTGTGCCACCATGTCCTGTTAATTTTTTTATTTATTGTAGAGACGAGTTTCACCAAGTTGCCCAGGCTGGTCTCAAACTCCTGGACTCAGGCAGTCTTTTTGCCTCGGCCTCCCAAAGTGCTGGGATTACAGGCTTGTGCCACCACACCTGGCCTAATTTTTTGATTTTTGTCGAGATGAGGTCTCAATATGTTGCCTAGGCTGTTCTCAAACACCTGGGCTCAAGCGAGCCTCCCACCTCAGTCTTCCAAAGTGCTGGAATTACAGGTATAAGTTACTGTGCCCAGCCCCTGACGCCAAAGTTTATCCACTAACCTCACACCAGCCTGATCCCCAGACAGGCAAGGAGCTCCTGCAGCCTTCCTTGAGGCCTCCTTTCTCCCAGATAGGGGGTGGGCTCCTTCCCTCCTCATCAGCTATCCTGCCAGGATGCAAACCCCGAGTCCTCTGACCTTTACTAGGCCGTGTCACTCTGGCAAGCTCCTTCAACTTTCTGTGCCTCAGTTTCTGTATCCGTAAAGCAGGATTCATGGTACATGCCTCAGGAGGTTATTATGAGGATTTAGTGAGTTCATCTATGTAAAACAGTGCTTGGCACGCAATAAACCCTTTATAAAAGCTTTATTATTTATTTATAAGTTGGAGTCTCACTTTATCGTCCAGGCTAGAGTACAATGGCACACTCACAGCCACTGCAGCCTTGACCTGCTGGGTTCAGGTGATCCTTTCTACCTCAGCCTTCCAAGTTTCTGGAACCAAAGGCATGCACCACCATGCCCAGCTAATTAATTAATTAATTAATTGTAGAGATGAGGTCTTGCCAAGTTGAACAGACTGGTCTTGAACCCAGGAGCTAAGGCTATTCTCTCACCTCAGCCTCCCAAAGTGCTGGGATTATAGGCGTGAGCCACTGCACCCAGCCATTTATTTTTGAGTCGGAGTCTCACTCTGCTATCCAGGCTGGAGGGCAGCAGCATGCCCGTGGCTACT